CGGTCGCGGTCGCGGTCGCGGTCGCGCTCGCGCTCGCGTTCGCGGTCGCGGTCGCGGTCGCGGTCGCGGTGGTGGTGGTGGTGGTGGTGGGGGTGGTGGTGGTGGTGGTGGTGGTGGTGTGGCGGCTACTTTGGTCGCTGCTTGTGTTGTTCGCTTGTCGTCGTTGTTTCTGTCCTGAGGTGTTTTGGGGTTTTCTGCTCGTCAACTCAATTCATGTTCAGTGTCAGTCGCATCAGTTTGGAGTTTGCCAGAGCCTTTAAGACTTTACGGCCGAGGCTACCTGAAGGAAGACTGCTCCAGCGACTCATTGCACTACTCCTTCCCGGGCCCCTGCCCGCTCAGTGCTGCCGGGGCAAAGACGGAAGAGTGCCTAACCCCAGCTTTGGTGGGATGGTTTCGTTTGCTTTTAAAAGTTGGGGCTTCAAAGGTCAACCCCGAGGCTCGCATGAGATCGCGTGTGTCGGAAAAAGCCCTTTGTTCGAAGATGAGGCGACTGCTTTCGTGACAAAGGAACAAGGGCTGAGCAGTGCAGCCATATGTCTTCGTTGCCAGCTCCTACTTCTGGTCAGCCTAAGGTGCCTTGCGCAGTACCCTGGCGGGCTGTGCGACGAGCCGAACGGCACACACAACTGCACCTTCCATGTCGAGGATGCAGGCCCAGCGGAACGTTTCGGTGAAGTTGGGCCCGTAACAGCATCCTGCACTCCTTTGTGGGCCAAGCTGCAGATTTTGGTTTTCAGATCTGCCGTTGTTTCTGTTCTGTCCATTACTGGCTGATTCTGGTCACTCATGCAACTCCTCTGCCGGATGCCAGGGACTGTCACGCTGGATGAGCTGAGCGGGCGAAATACATCGTTTTGTGGCTGCAAATGCCAACATGCTCGCCCCAGCAGGGTTACTGACAGCCTGAACTCTTTTGGCCTTGCAACCGTTTGGACGCAAGTAGGGCTTCAAGGCCGTTCTTGCCGCTGCTGTGGCCATGCTGCTTACCACCAACAACAACAGCAGCACCATCAACAAAGACCGCAGCAACAGCAGTAAGCACAACGGATTCGACGACAGCAGCAGCAGCAGCAGCAGCAGCAGCAGCAGCATAATTCAGTCATAGTGGTACATGTAACCTCACTGTACTACTAGTACAGACAGCATCTGAAAGGTAGTAACGATGTCTGCGCCACCGGTTACCTGCATCACCACCGCCGCCGCAACCACCGCCAACAACGCCGCAGCAGCAGCAGCAGCAACAACAACAACAACAAGACCAACAACAAGTGTAACACTAGCAATACCACTACACCATCGCCAACAGCAGCAGCACCAGCATGAGCCCCGACGACAGTAAGCTGCTCCTACTCCTACGCCTCGTACTGCAACTGCTGCTACAACGACAACAACAACAACTACTACTACTACTGCTGCTACTACTACTACTACTACTACTACTGCTACGACTATGACCTTGCTCCCACTCCTACTCCCTGGTGTTGCTGCTATGGCTGCTGCCACTGCAACTGCAGGTTTTCGGTTGATCAGAAGATCTTCGGAAGCTCAATGTCCATGTGGCGAACCCGGAGCCCATCCCGGGCTCATCATAAGAATTGAAACCCCGGAAGCTCTAGCACCCGCTAAAGCGAGCTGCGTTATGTTGACAACTTGGACCACAAAGCTGCTGCGCAAGAAACCCCGGAGGCCGATCGGACTTGATATCTTTCGGTTGTGCAGGGCCATCGAAGGTTGGGCAACAGCCAAGTACCAGTGCAAAAAAGCGAGTCTGTCTCTCAAACAGCTTCGCCCAATCTGCGCCGTGCCAAGTCTTGGCAATGCGACAACGCAAACCCTAAAAAACATGCACACGATCATCCCCTGGTAGTTGCTACTTGTGTTGCCATTGCTTATACCACGCATCATCTGCTGTGATGGCTGTCCCTAAGCCCCCAGGAACCTACTATATAGGGCTTTAGGGGCTCTAGTACCCTATATAGTAGGTACCTGGGGGGTTAGGGTGTTCTGCTTCTGAGGCAAAGCCTCCAAGACTGGTGCGCCGCCGGTAACTTGGAGTGGGATCCGGCCAGGGACCGGGGAGCCCGGGAGCCCAGGAACCCAGAGACTCCAATGTCCCTTAATGAAGGAATAGACCTTAAATTATAGTAGGATCCCTAATATGATTTAAGGTATATTCCTTAATTAAGGAGTATACCTTAAATTATAGTAGGATCCCTAATATGATTTAAGGTATATTCCTTGATTAAGGGGTATACCTTAAATTATAGTAGGATCCCTAATATGATTTAAGGTATATTCCTTGATTAAGGG